ACGCCCCCCGGTCCCCAACGGGTTGTTGTAGTTGATCTCAGCCTCAAAAGATCGGTCTAGGATCAGGAGCCAAGCAGAGGTGTAAGGAGCAAAGACACCCCTTCTGCCCATGTCCCAGACTCCTGGCCCTGACCTCACCATGGAAGAAGTCCCGAAGTTCCCGAGTGTTGGACAGAGACTGAATGACGCTGTTCATGAAGCAGGTGTTGCCTAAATTGACAAGGCCAGTGAAGCCTGGAAGACACACCTTTTTCTCCTCTTCTTCCTCCTCCTCCACACTGTCTCCACTCACAGGGCTATGAGGCATTGGAGGCACCATACATGTGGGCTTGGGCTGTGGGCGCAAAGAGGGCATGAGAGAACAGCCCTGAGGCTCTCCAGCCTTCATTCTTGGCCCTTCCCAATCCGGGATCCTCACCGAGGCCAGGTGTGGCTCTGGCTTTGGGGCTACATGTTCCAAAGTGGTGCGAGCTGCCACACCATCCAGCCCTGTGTCCTCAGATCGAGCTTTGGGTTTATCCTTCTCCACAGCCCGGGCTTCCTCCTGGCCTGTCAGGGGGTGAGGCGCTCCTCCTTGAGGAGTTGACTCCAGAGGGGTTGGACCTGTCGGCACTGCAACCTTTGCACCACCCACTGCACCTTAAAAAGGGGGAATGGGGGGGCTGGTGGTTAGCAGCATGTGGCAGCAATGAGGTGTCCTGATCATGCAGGGCTGGGCAATGAAGGGAGCTCGTGTGCAGACCTCGTGCAGCTGGGGCCTCCAGGCCCCCCCAGCGCTGACTCTGCCGCTTACGGAGGCAGATGTCAATGCGAGATGCCGTGAAACAGAAGGTGCACTGCTCTGGCTCAATCAGGTTCCTATGGGAAAAGGCTGAACTCAGGAACTTAAGTGGAGGAGGTGTTAGACTAGACAGTCCAGGGAGATGGAAGCCCAGTTGGGACAGGCACAGTGGTGGGGACAGGCACCACCCACCTGAGCTTCACCTGCCAACGGAAGATGGTGTGGGGCCCACAGCCCGGATGTAACCTGAGGAAGTTTCCATCCCTGCAGAGGCAGATTAGAGCAAGAGGAAGGACAAAAGGGGAACATGAGACATACAATCCCATTTGAGGCATACCGTCTACCCCAACTTCTGCCCACCCACCCACCCACCTGGTTTGGAAGATGAGCGTGAAGTCCTGCTCGCGAAAAAGTACTCGAGAGGTGTCCCTGTGGATCTCCTTCACATACACGTGCACCACCACTGAATCCGGCCCCTTCTCATATGAGTCATTCTTGACAAATGCCAGGTTCACCATGGACTCAGGGTCTATGTTGAGACCATGGCTCAGTGCCAAGCATAAGTCTCAGCCTGTTGCTATACTACTCCCTACCCACCCACTGACCCTGAAACCCAACCTAAGATTCTGCCTGGCTACTCCCAGCCCCACCTTTACCATCCACCAAGGTTGTAGCATCTGTTGCTACTGCCATCTCGTCTTTGACACGGTCAGCTTTCCCAGAGTCTCTGTTCCGGGCCAAGACTGGAGAGACTGGATCACTCCTGGGAGACACTGCCTTTTCTCCTGTCAAAAGGGCTAAATTCTTCTCTGAGCCCAGCAGACAGGTTTGGGGATTCAGAGGTGGTACACGGAGCTGTTCCTCAGCCTCAACCTGTTCATGGTGAGATTATGGGCATGATCAGTCCTAGGTACGGCAGACAGCCCCAACTCCAGTCCACACCCCTTCCTCCCACATCCTTATACCCAAACAGGCACCCAGCTCTCACCTGGGTGGCTGGGTCAGCCAGGAAGGGTGGAGCATCACCCTGGGGTCCAGGGTCATCCCTGGACCCTTCCCCCTCTGGCCCTCTGCGGAGATGCACAGCCCTCTTGGCGCTGGGCCCTGCCTGGGCCCCGGGGCCAGTCCCTGAGCCTACCTCACCACGGCCCTGGGCCCGCTTCTGGTTCCGGGCCTCCTGCTTAGCCCGGCGGGGCTCAGGGCCTGGCTCCAGGGCAATGGGAGACAGCTCCTGCCCATTCTCCTGGCACCGCAGCCCCAGCGCCAGCTCCTGGGTCCCTAGAGATTTCTTCTGCCAAAGATACAACAGTTAGGCCCTGTAAACTTCACTTGATATTCATACCCTACCCTGTTTGGAACTCACCAGGAGAGAGGGCCATGTGAGCAGAGGCACCTTCTTGGGCAATGCCAGCTGTAGAAGGCCACCCTTACGGGCCTGCACTTTAGTGCAAGAGCTTTCTATTTCAGCATAGAAAACTCCACCCCACTGTCGACCACCTGGAGAGAGAATACCAGCAGTGAGTTAGGGTGAAAGATGTCAGAGAATTCAAATGTACTGCTGTGGGTTCCAAATGGACCCACCTGGAAGCCGTACCACACAGTCTGTGTCTGTGAAAGCAGCATCCACCTCCTCCAGCCTCAGGGGCCCTGCACCCACTCGAAGCTTGACAATCACCTCATCTGCACTCTGCCTCCAGTCAAGCAACAACTCTGTAGGGGGAGTAGCAAAGAGATCACAAAGGTCTCCACAGCTGCTGGTGGGGATAAGTGGGTAAGAAACCCAACCCTACTGGGTCTGCTCCAGATGGGAGCTATGTTCCCAGTGCTCCCTCCCTTCCCTTAGCACTCAAAAGTTCCATTCATTACTTACCCTCTTTGGTTGGCTCCTCTCGAGGAGTGGACACTGACCATGACAACAAAGAAAAAAACAGGGAAGCAATGATGGGGAGCCACCCTCCAAGACCTCACCATTCCCAAAACACCATTTCTTGGGTACTTTAGCGAAGTATTCCAGGTTTAAAGCTGAGGCTCTACCTAGCCTGTGATGGATCCTTTTCTCAGCATCAAACCAAAACAAAGGGAGCAGCAAAACTGTCATCTCCCAACCCTAAATCTGCATGCCCAGTGAAAGGGGAAAAAGAGGCCATGAGCACTCTGGGAATGACACTCCCACCTCTCCTAGGATCTCCATCCTTGCTCTCCTGGTTTGCTCGATCCTTCTGCTTCTTCTTACTAGTGGCCTCCTCCAGTCCTGGGGGCCCTCTCCTTGGGCCTGTGGCATTGGCCCCACCAGACATCTTAAGCCGCTTGGTTGACAGCCAGAGTGCCCCAGAGTCGGCAACAGTGTCTGGGTCAGGGCTGCGGCGCTTTCTTCCTGGCCCAGCTATCTTGGCAACTCTTGTGTCCAAATTCTCCAGCAAGGAACCAACAGCCTAATGAAAATGGACCAGCAATCACTACCGAGCCCAACAACTTGCTCCTTGGCTACAGTCAGGGCTCAGCAACACAGGACACTTCTAACCCTATAGGGTAGTATCTTCTCACTGCCTGAAATAATCTTGGATACTCTCAGGCTGTTCTGAAGGAGAAAATAATACAAGTAGCAGAAACCACTTTGGACCAAGCCTCCTAGAATCTTGCCACAATAGACCCACAAAGCTAGAAGCCTCACTGAGGAGGCGCCAGGTCAAGGCAGTCATGGCCTGGGACCAGGATCATCCTTTGGATAAGAGCCATGGCTCCAGCCCACAGGGCTGGCACTCTGTGCAGGGAGCTCCTTTTTTTCCTTCACTCTTACTGGCTGCTTAGTCACCACCAGACAAGTAGAAGGTGGAGAAGGAAGGCAGTAAAGGCAGAGACCATTAAGCAGCAGGAGGACCAGACTGTGAGGCTGAAAACAGGCCTGGCCCAGGTGCTGCCATTGCCCAGAAAAGGTCCTGGTGTTAAGGTGCCCACCTGCCTCCTGCCAGCCCCACCGTTTATCATGAACCTGCTCCTATGCATGTAATTGATCTTTCTCTAGTGACTGACTCATTTCCCCAGCAGCAGAGAGGGGCTGATTCCAGTATCAAGGCATGATAATGGGCATCCAGCTTGAGACTGGAACAGACACCACCACCTTCCTTGCCAGGTCTCTTCACTTATAAGCTCTAAACCACCTTCTATCCATAGACCTTCTATTCCCACAGATCTGCCAGTGGATTCTGAGTTGTTTCTCCATCTAAATGAAGTTCTGAAAACCATATACTGAGATGAGGGTGGGATCCTGGACTCCTGGCAGCCTCAAATCTGGCTTGAGCAGGTAGCAGAACAGATGACTAGGCTATGTTCCTGTAGAGGAGGGAGATGGTAAGATACCCTTCTATGGGTCAGATGTGACACTGGTGGGCTTGATCTTTAAGGACGGCCGGTGCAGAGCTGAGAGAACACTCGCCGTCTCCTCCTCACACCCAGACCCCAGTCGCTTGCGTCCCTCCCCCATGGTCCAGCGACGTCGAGGCAGGAAAGGGGCTGACTAGAAACTCGAGCTGGTCAGGTAGGGCTTTGCAGAGTTACTGACCACAGACTAGCGCCCCAGCCGGGTAGCGACCCAGCTCCAGCCTCAGAACCCCAGACCCGCCAACACCACCTCCAGGAAGCCACCCTCGCTCGCCGCTAATCCTCTTTAAGGAGGGAGGCCGGCCATGGACGTAGTATAACGGCTCCGTCGTCATCGATGGACCCAGTACGCCACGGGCTCGAGGTGTCGGGGCTGGCACGGCCCGTGACCTTGAACAGACCGCCCTGAGCCGGCGCCGCGGCCTTCCCGCTGCGGCCAGAACGGCGAGTTGCGGCCCGCCCCACTCACCGAGCGAGACCGCCACCGCCAGCCCTCTTCGGGCCTTGGCAACCCGCTCTCTCGATTCCGGTTCCGGCGTCAGGTCGGTTCCGGTTCCGGCGCGCCCCTCCCCCGTCCCGGCGCCGCCGCCGCCGCCGCCGCCGCCTTAAGCCGCTTGTTTTGTTTCGACTTCTAGTTACGGCCGTGGGAGGCGGAGCGCAGAGCTAATGACGCACTTCCGACAGGAGAGAACTGGCGGTGGCGGGAGGCTCTGGGGAGGGCCGCAGCGGAAGAGGAGGGGTTCCGGTATTTTGGCCTTGCAGGAACGATTCTGTGCGACTGTGTTTCGGTCCTGCGCGGAGACCCCGCCCATCCCAAATTAAGAGTCCAGACAACCCAATGGAGGTTCACACTGGTTTATTGGGAGCCCCGCCAGGCCGAGAGCTCTTTAATGTGTAGGCAGACGCGCGTGCGGAGCAGTGCTAGGGACTAGGGTAGGCACTGGGTTGGGGTCACTGGCAGGTGTTGTAGATTTGAACCTGCAGGTTGATGGCTTGAAGCACGCTACGCATCCTGGCCTCCAGCCCATCCAGTTGGGCCGCCTTGCCCTCCAATGCTCGTTCGTTTTCTTCATAAGTGCCCTCCAGTTCTAGGATGGGAAAGTATCAGTTTAGGGGGTCCTTCTCCCACTGTCTCACCTCTCTGACTCCTTCCGCAGCACTCCTCACCCTGTAGCCGCTGCAGCTTGTCTTGAGCAGCCTGCAACAAGTCCTGAGCCTCAGCCCGCAGTTGTTCTGCCCTCTCCTGTGCAGCAAGCACACCCTGGGCCTTGCGCTCAGCCAGAGCCCTAACAGTTTGGTACTGGTCGCCCACTGGTCCCTGTAGCAGCTGGAGGTACACAAAGCAGGGTCAGCAAGAGCCCAGTGGAGGCCCAACTACTAACCCTACCTCCTCCGGCTGACTCTGCCTCAACCTACCTGCTCAGCCTCCCAGGCTCGGCTCTGGGCACTGCCCGCTGTTTCTTCAGCTGTAGAAGCTGCCAGACTATTTCCCGCCCTTTTCAGTTTCAGAGCCTCCAGGAGAGCGTCCAGTTGTTGAGCCCGCTCACCTGCAGAGCTCAGTGCCTGCTCTGCACCTGCCATCCTCTCCTGTACCTGCCATGGGTGGGTCCAGGGTTAAACAGATATATGGTGCATGCCCATAACTTTGTCCCACTGATATCATAGGGAGACCATACCTGGTGCAGGGTCTGCTCTGTGTCCTGTGTGTCAACTACCGCTCCCCGAATGGCACCCTGAGCAGCACCCTGTGCCCGCTGGGCCTCCTCCAGCGCTGCCTGTACCATCTCTGCCTTCTGTTTCTCACCCTCAGCACGATTCCTGGGGAAAATGGGGGATCAGGGCCTGCAGGTATTAGGACCAGGCATCAGGGAGAGGGGTTAGGATAAGGGTCAGACCGTGCCCGCTGTGCATCCTGCAGTAGCTGCTCAGTTCGACGGACATCCCCCACTGTACGCGCCAAGATTGTGTCCACATCCGCCAGGCTCCGGACACGCTCTGCAATTTCACCTGCCAGGTGCTGGATCTGCTCAGGTGAGGCTGGGATGGAGAGCTCTAGCACCCGTGTGGCCACCATCTCAATGCTATCAGGATCAGCCCCCTCCTCTATGGGGACACAGGTAAAGGCTTAAAGACAGATTCTCCATTATGAGCATGGAAACATAATATTGAGGTATGGATTCTGGGATTATACATGGGATAAGAGCTTGCTGATAGATATAAAGATGTAACACAGGGACAAGGGCTATGCAAGGGCAGACTTGGGGATTTGGACCAGGGAATTGCACATGGGAAGGACTTAGGGACCTGACAAAGGGACATAAACGCAAGTCCGTTATAGGCCCTGAGACCCAAATGTGAACTTAGAGAGACACACAGACACAGGGGAAACAATCAATGGCCTTGGCCACATAGGAGGCTCACGGCTGAGGAAGTCCTTCACATTCTGGATAAGTTCTCGAAGCTCTTGGTTAGCCTGCTCCACTTGTCCCCTGGAAGCATTAGCCTTGTCCAGGGCTGCCTGGGCCCGCTGCTGTGCCTCGCCTGCCTGCCGACGAGTCTCAGCCACTCGACTAAGGATGCCGCCACCTTCTACTAGTGCCCGCTGCAGCTCCGCTTGTGTGTGCCGAGCCCGACCCAGAGCAAGGTCAGCTGTGGCTGCTGCCCCACTGCAGCTGAGGCCCCCACAGCGGAGCTGTCCATCTTCATCACGACAGCCAGCACCCCCACAAGGGCTGGTAGCACAGGGTGCATCCCCAGGAGCCCCACATACCTGCCAGGTACAGAACAAGTCAGGGCTCTGTGAGAAGAACATGAACACCTGAACACCCACCTGTCCCACCCCACACTTTCACCTCACCAGTTCATTTATGCTTGTCAGGCTCAAGGCATGAGTATGTGTAGACAGCTTGCTCAGTGCCTGCTGGTTGGCCAGGTGTTTGTGATTGAAGTCTTCCCTTTGGACACCAATCAGCATCTCTGCCCGAAGCCGGATATCTGCTGAGTTGCTCACAGGGCTGGGTACTGCCAGGGCAGAGGTGTTGGCACGACGTTCTGCCTCTGCAGACTGGCTGTGGGCATGGCGGATGCTGTCATAGGCACCTGAGTTTGGCAGAGGCAGCAGTCAGCTGAAGATCGAGCCTGGCCCACCTGCTAGTTGGCCAACAACTCACCCAAGAAATTTGAATGCTTAAGTAGGTCCAGATGCTGGTCAAGCTGCCGCAGTGTAAGATTAAGAGCAAGCCCATCTCGCTCCAGACCACTGAGTACATGGTTGGCATTGAAATTCTCATCCTGTACATCTGTCAGCTCACCCTCCAGCTGAGTCAGGTGCTCAGTGGCCTTCCCAATTTCGTGCCTGTATCAACAGGGGTCATGTTTAGAGAAGCTGTAGATCTGATCCACTGGATCTCTGTCCCACCCCACCATGTATCTTTTGCCCATCCGCACCGCAGTTCCTCTGTAGCCTCCACAAGCTTCGCAGTGGAGGCAGCTGAGGTGTTGCGAGCACCCACAATGGCCTGCACCATGCCCAGCTTCTCCTGAATCTGCCAGAAGCTGCTCTCAAAGGCACCCAGCACACCCGTCTGCTGCAACTCCTGTGCCCACTGCTCCAGGCGCCGTGTACGGGCAGCCAAGTCCTGTACCACACGGTCCCAATCCCCGAAACATGCATGGCAGGTGTAGCAGGCAGGAAAGACACCTGAGAAGCCACGGGCACACTGGTCACAGCGCACGCCAGAGACACCCAGGCGGCAGCTACAGTGGCCTGTGGAGCGATGACACTGAGGTGTGTCTATTCCTCGAGGGTCACAATCACAGGCTGCAAGAAAGGATAGACCACAGAGTTAGAGCCTCTGTGGGGGCATCCTGAGAAGTCTTTCATCCACCCTGTTCCCAACCCTGCCTCACCACGGCATTGCAACCCGGGGTCTCCCCAGTGGAGCTCTTCACACTCAGAACAAGTCTGCCCACCAAAGCCGGCTCGGCAGTGGCACTGCCCTGTGAACTAGGGTGGGAAGAGAGAGGGGTCAGAGCCTGTACTAGAAGCTGAGCCCTTGAAATAAGACAGACAGCTGGCCCCATCTACCAGGGATCTGAAGGATTCCATACCTCATTGCAGGTGGGGCCTCTGGCCCTGCTTGGGTGGCAGGCACAAGGCTGGCAGCCATGGCCACTAGTGAGATTCCAAAAGTTGGGGGCACAGCGGTCACATCTCAGGCCTTGGACATTGGGAAGGCATGGGCACTGTCCACTGCTTGGGTCACAGTGACACTGGTCGGTGGATGGGCACTGTTGGGGATTTGTGCCCAACAAATTACAGGTGCAACCTGTGCCAGCCAAGATGAGCACAATAGTCAAGAGGAGCCCAAGCAGTGGAACCCATTCCAGCCATCCCTTCCCATATCCATACTCACGATGACAGCTCTGCTGGGCAGCTTGCCCATGGAAACCGGGCTTGCAGAGGGCACAGTGGGGTCCCTCCGTGTGGTGTAAACAGCGCAAGCATTGCCCAGTGTGGGGGTCACAGGCCTCAGGGTCCGTGGGATCAATGTTCCCATTGCACTCACACAGTTGGCACCTGCCACCTGGCTTTGATGGGTCCCCAAAGTGCCCAGGGGCACAAGTTTCACATCGCAGCCCTACCCATAGTGGAAGAGGAAGTCATGAGTGCTCAGCTTAGCTATCTCACCTTGATCCCATGCATGCTTCTATCCACTCACCTGTGTAGCCTGCCCGGCAGTGGCACACAATCTGCTGGGAGTACCCATCCCGGTGGCAAGAAGTAGCAAAGTACCGCTGGCTCCCAGGGCCTTCAGGGCAGGGACAGGGCCTGCACTGGCCCCCATATGGCAGCCGTGGATCCCCATGGAAACCAGCAATGCACCTGCAGGGAAGTAAAAGAAGAGCTGTGTCATCTCTGGGCAGCCTGTCCACCCACCAACCCACTTATATCTGCTCTAGGCTCACCTTTCACAGTGTTCACCACCTGTGTGATCACGACAGCCTAGGCAAGAGCCTGTGTGGGTATCACATTCATCTGCATGCCCATTGCAGACACATGGCCGGCAACTAGGAAATCCCCACTGGCCACGTTGGCAGTGATCACAGCGAAGCCCAAAGGCACCAGTTCGGCAGGGACATTGCCCACTAGTCCCTTCGCAGAGACCACTGAGTGCCCCCTCAGGGCTGCACTGGCAGGCTGGGGGCAGAGTACAGGCTAAGGTCAGGGAGGGAGTCTGAGGGGAGTATGGGTGAGGTCAGAGTAGGAAGGTCAGGGAATAGAAGAACTGCAGGTGACCCAGGGCTGAGAGTATGGGGCCCCAGACAGAGTTGAGGAAGGAAGAAGCAGAATCAGAGGGAAGAGGGAGAATAACAGTGGGAAGGGGATAGGAGAATAAGAGGGAACAAAGGGCAGGCAGATACCTTGACAGCCTGTGGGGCCAAAGCCATAGTAGCCAGTGGCACAGAGGTCACAACGGCGCCCAACCACTCCAGGTTTGCACAGGCACTGGCCACCATGAGGGTTGCACTCAGAACTCAATGAGCCTTGAGGGTCACACTGACATGCTGTAGTGTAGAGAGGGAAGGAGGGCTAATCAGGTTGAGCCCCACCTATGCCCCAGCAACCCACATTATGAGTACTCACGCAAGGCACCATTGTAGATCAGAGTGGACAGGCTGATGAGGAGGGGGCCACAGGCCTCAGAGGGAGGAGTCTTGCTGGGCATCACACCTTCCTCATGGCAGCGGTAACGTTCAAAGGTGGCACGGCGCTCCAGGGCAGTAGCATCACCCCCACTAAACATCTCTAGCACCAGGACACGGGGCAACAGCACTAGCTGAAGGGATGAGCAAAGAAGAGTGCAGCTCAGGTAGTGGACCACAATGATACTGCTAGAGTACTTGCCACGGGCCTACCTGAGAGGTAATAGACTTCTCCTTTCCATCACCACCAGCCCTGTCATCTTGGTTATTGTTGGCAAGAGGGGATTATTCACCGAGTCAATGAGCAGGCCAGGTCCAGAGTAAGGGGTCTCAGGATGGGCACTTCCTCCTGTTCGAACCAGCTTCAGATGTAGCTTGTAGGAGATGCCAGGCTCAAGGCAGACAGGTCTGGGAAGTACCATGTACCTGGGGTGGAGACAGGTATAATGGGTCACCAGGGACCCTGTACCCATCTTCCTTGGACTCTCACACCCCTCTCACAATAACCAAGACATTGGCCAAGGCAGAAAGTATGGCTGGGTCAGGCTGGGCTGGGGTGGGCTGCATTGGGCCAAGCCAACAGACAGCTGCTGGGCATCTGACAGAGACTCTGCACAGAAGAGTCCCATAAACATGGCTCACTGGACTCATATACCTGTGCAGACCAGTATTACTAGAAATAGAGAGCCTGGCAACCCTAAAGCATTTCCCTGAGAACTTCCCATGAGAACTGGCCAGTTTTTCTTCAATAACCACTTTACCTTTCCTCTGATCACAACCTACACTCTCTGCTCCCCTTCAACACTTTTATCTCTTAGGTCATTTCCATCATTCTGCAAACTTAGATGTGGGTTCTTTTATCCACCCCACCCCCCAATCTCCCTACAATCCCTTGAACCTTCCCCTAGTGCCACCTTATCTTTGCTTTCCTGCCCAATAAATTCCTAGAGACCACTAAGGTTACCACCTCCACTCTCTTCCCTTCTACTCCAGTGGGACTTCTGCCCCACATTGCACCAAGGTCACCAATGATTTCCATGTAACTAAACCCAGTGGCCACTCTTCTATTCTTATCTGACTCCAGCATTCAGCAGCATGTCATGAGATCATAATACCTTCTTCACTCTTTTCTCTTAACTTCTGGGCTCCTGTCCACAGTCCTGATTTTTCCCCAGACTCCTAGCTCCTCCTTCTTTACTCGCCTCTACACTAGAGTATCCTACAGCTTGGTTCTTTCTTTCTCTGGTCATTTCATCCAGACCCAAATCTAAAGTAATGAGTTTCAAATTTTTATCTCCAACATGGATCTTCCCAGAATTTCCAGATGCAGAAGTTCAGTCATTCACTGGTCTTCTCCTCCATGTCTAAACATCTCAGAACTGCTCCTCTCTATGTTTCCATCTTAGTAAAGGGTTCCACCCTTATCCAGATGTCCAGTCCAAAAACTCTAAGAGTCACCTTTCCACCTTCTCTCCCTTCCCTATGTGTTTAAGCCATCAGCTCTACTACTAGACTCTCTGGAGCCTTCCCTTGTCTCTTTATCTCTACTACACTGCAGTCTAATCCACTGTCACTTGGCCAACTCAATAGTCTCTAGCATACTTCTTACTTCTACCTTGACCACTTTAAGTCTCCCACTCAGCAGCTAGAAGAATCTAGCAACTCACAGTTGACAAAATGTCTACTACGGGTACAGCCAAGTTCATTATGCTAATCTGTTTCTGTGTATGTATTAATATTTACATGATTAAAAATGCAAAGAGCCAGGTGCTGGTGGCTCATGCCTGCAAGCTTAACTATTCAGGAGGCAGAGATCAGGAGGATGGTGGTTCAAAGCCAGCCCGGGCAAATAGCTCACAAGACCCTATCTCAAAAAAACCCATCACAAAAAAGCTGGCAAAGTAGCTCAAGCAGTAAGAGTGCCTGCCTAGCAAGCATGAGGTCCTGAGTTCAAACCCCAGTGCTGCCAAAAAAAAAAAGGCAAAAAGATCCGGGCACCAGTGGCTCATATCTATAATCCTAGTGACTTGGGAAACTGAGATCAGGAGGATTGTGTTTTGAAGCCAGTCTGGGGCAAACAGTTCACAAGATCCAATCTGCAAAATAACCAAAGCAAAATGGACTGGAGTTGTGACTCAAGTGGTAGAGCTCCTGTTTTGTGTGTGCCTGCTTTGCAGAATCAAAGCCCTGACTTCAAATTCTGGAAACACCCCCTTCCCCCCCAAAAAAAGCAAAAACAGGACTGAGGATGTGGCTTAGTGGTAGAATCCTTGCCTAGCATGTACAAGGCCTGGATTCAATCCCCAGCACAAAAAAAAAAAAGTAACACCCTGCTCAGAGTACTCTGATGCCACTGCCCTATAACCATCACTACCACCATAGGCCCTTCCTGTAGTGACAATGGATGATTTCCCATTAATTCCTGTTTTGGCCACTGTGACCTTAGACCCCTTAGAGATCAGGCCTTGTTTTGTCTGTTTACTTCATGTGACCATAATACCTGGCAAACAGCACTTAGAGAAGACTTTTTTTTTTTTTTTGGTGGTACTGAGAACCAAACCAAGGGCCTTACACTTGCTATGCAAGTGCTCTACCACTTAAGCTATGCCCCCAGCCCAGGAGGAGATTTTAGAAGGAAGAAACAGATGAATAAGCAGTAGGTTTTTCCAGGTGCGCTACAAGAAGTCTAGGGCCGACCTCATAACCCCCCACTACTGTAAGTACTACTATCAGTGCCCTCACCTGGTGTTTGGTTGCAAAGTCCCTTGGATGCGGTCGTCCTTGGGCAACATATGCCCACATGGACTATGTGCAGACACAGGCCCTGGACGCTGCACAGTAAGTTGTATCTCTGCCCATTGCTCGGGGACCTGAGGGAAGAGGATGATGGAGGAGATGCTTCCACATTCAGAGGTTCATCTCCAGGTGAACTGTCACAGGGTCTGACCTGGGGCTCCAAGCGCAATAGCACATCATAATCCATAGCCCTTGGCAAAGAGGTTATCAGGAACTCCAACTCCTGACCTTCCTGTAGTCGCACAAAGCCTGGGCCAGTCCAAGATGGAGTCTCCTGGGTGGACACCAGGCGCTCCACCACATTGAGCACCTGGGAGACAACACAGCCAGGGTTGGAGACTTAGGTGAGACACCATCTCTTTTGCCACAGCCAGCCCCAAACCCCATTTCTCCTGCCAAGACTCACTCAAGGCTGGATAGCCCCCCTCTCTCCACCCCCCAATTCCCACAATGCACCACTGACAGCCCCACTTTTCTAGCCATCCTATCTGTCCTCAGGCACCCCCACCTGCCCTCGGGCATCCTCAGCCTCCCAAGTTAGGTGGTCCAGAAAGGGCCGGAAGTAACCAGGTTGTACTTGTTCACAGCGTCGTCCAGTCATGTGCTGGCGGCAGCGGCACTGACCTGTGGTCTCATCACACCTGAAGGATGTTGTGGTTACTCAAGAAGGACCTCCCTCTTCTGCCCAGGATTTTTCCCTGCCCCACTCTGAGTTCCCTTTACAGCACTCACTGAGGATCCAAGGCACCACCCACGTCGCAGTCACAGGGACGGCAGCCGAGCAAGTCATGGCTCAGGCCCCAGTGGCCAGGCTAGGGGAAAGGTGTTGCTGGAGGCCAAAACAGAACCCCCCTCACCACCCATCAGGGAATCCAACCACATCCCCAGCCTCTATTTCCCCTTGATAAACATATGGCCCCCAAACCTCTGGTCTACCACTTTGACCACTCAGACTTGAAGCTTCTCAGGAAGGACTAGACCCTAAAAGTTCTAAACACCCACCCACTGGGTCATGGACACTGCTCCCCAGATATGTGCTCTGAGAACAAGTCCAGGACCTCACACCCCCAACTCCCTCCAATCGCACCAGGCACTGGTCGCAGCCATGTCCAGTCACTAGACGCTTGCAGAAACAGGTTCCACTGCTGGAGTCACAAGGAGTGCCCCCAGGCACTGTGCCCCGTGCATTACACTGACAACCTGCAAGGAAGAAGACTTATTAGAATTTGGGAGGGCTGCAGCAGTGCTGGAATTTAGCTGAGTCAGGAGTAAGAAGCCAGGGGTTAAAGGTCAGCACAGGAGTTAGGGCAGGAGGCACATACGTCGGCAGCCTTGAGGGTCACTGGCACTGAGCCCAAAGAAGCCATCACGGCATTGCTGGCAGCGAGTGCCCACCACATATTCTTTGCAGCGACACTGGCCTGAGACCAGCCCCAGTGCAGGGTCATCATGGGAATCACAGCGACCACCATCTTGGGAACCCATAGGGTCACAATCACAACCTGGGAGTAAAAAGAGGTACAAAGTATCTTAACCCATATCAGTCCAGTCTTAGCCCAGAAACAATCCTCTCCTAAGCAATCCCATCCCTAATTTGGCTCCATCCCAATCCCCTACCATCCGAATTCCTTACAACCTGTACAGCAATCTGACTTCCCAGTTCCTAGGTTAGGCTCAACTTCCCTCCCCTGTCCCTGGCCCAATCCCAGCCTCACGGCGGCACACAGCTGGATCCCGCAGGTCCTTGGTTGGGTCACGGTAGAAGAAGGGCCGGCAGAACTCACAGTGGTGCCCAGCTGTGTTGTGCTGACATCCATCACACACCCCTCCACTCACATTGCCAGATGCCAGGTATATGGCCATGTCAAAGTGGCAGCTGTGAGTGTGCCCATGGCACTCGCACTCTGGGGGGAAGGAGAACAAAGGCCACTTGAGGACCACTTCCTGAGGGTTAAGGAGCATCTAGATTGCTGCCACAGACAAGAATTTGTGGGCGGGTGGCAGTTTAAGGACTTCAAGGCCTCAACATCATACTAGACCCCTGTCCAGAACAGATTGTAGAGAAAGGTTGGGCTATCACTAGGGATATCAGGACCTGGATACCTTTGGACACAGCCTGGTTGTTAAGGGATTGACCAACTAGCTCTAGGTTCTACTCAGGGCAAAGCCAGGCTGCAGAATTCTGAGGCTTTGGAGGCCAGGATTTCACTTACTTCTACAGGCATGACTATGGCCATCCTCAGCTGGATGCCAGGGCAAATCATGATGGAAATCCTGACACTGTTCACAGTTGAGGCCACGAGTGTTGTGTTTACAAATGCAGGCCCCATGCACCTATGGGAACAAGCAGGAAGGTTGTCAGCACTGTCCAGCCATGTCTGCCCTTTTCCCTATCCCTATCCCTATCATCAGATGTTAAGAACCTTACCATGCCCTCAGCATGGGCTGGTGCCCCTGGGGCAGGAGCACACTGTGAGGCATGTCCATAGCAAAAACAGTTGCCACGCACAACCAACTCATAGAGGGCATAATAGTACTTTTCTCGGATCTCCCGCCGTGGGTCGAGCAGGTTGTCCCCCAGCGTGTGAAGCCGAGTCAGGTTCACCCGTAGATTGGTGATCTTCAATAGGTCTGAGTAGGGGACAAATGTTGGGTTCAACTGGCCAGTCAGGCCCTTGCTGCCAAGGTCACCTTGGGAGACCTCCTGTCTACTGCTACTAGAGCTAAACTGGGCTTGGCACCTGCCCTAGGAAGCACTCAGAATAGTTACTGAGGCCCCAAATAGTCCCCAGACGGATGCTGGCACTGTGCCAAGCTCAAAGGGCTGAGCACTCACTCTGAATCCGTGAGCTGTAGGGATCTGGGATAGGGATGGCTGGATCCAGCACACGATAGATGACCTGGAGAGGCAGGGAGTCCATAGAGACACTGGAACTTGCCTGAGCCCCATCATCCCCTGCTTCCTGTCCCCAGCCCAGATCACAGTCCTCACCTCGCCTTCAGTGGATGGTTCAATTTCTGAGTACCGGGACTCACAGACTACATCATCCCAGTGCCGTGGGGGGGCCAGTGGGACTCCTGGGAAGTCAGCCGCACAGTCATAGGAGAAATATCGGTACACATGCCAAGTGTGGCCAAAGTCTGCTGAGCGCTCCACCAGCATGGCAGCAGGGCGAAATGTCTGGATGGGGGTCATGGCCAATCAGCAAGCACCAGGAAGGACCCCAGCTCAGCCCAGGTTATTGAGAACCCTGCTCAGCTTGGGATTGCCCTCACACAACTCTCAGGCAGGTGGGACTGACTGAAGAAGCCAGGGAGGGTAGTCACCTCTAATGGGCAGGTTCATGGGGCCCAAGGAAACTCATGCTGGGATTCAGGCAGCAGAAGAGCATGTGCAAAGGCCTAGAGGTGTACAGGTATGAGGGGACGAGGGAGCCTCCTATGCAGCCAGAGCACAACAGATGAGTTCAGAGAGGTTGGGTTGAGGAGCTGGGGTTCTGTCCAGGGGCAATGGGGAGGATGATTCAGGTAGGCTCCCAGACATGCAGGCACCTTGAAGGTCATAATGAGGTGTGTGAAATGGAACTCAGCCTCCAGGTCCAGCTGGATAGTGACCATAGAGATACCTGGGACAGGAGTTGGAGGTCAAGATCTCGAGGCCACTGGTAGGCAACCCTGCTAACTCCATGACCCACCCACACCTCACCATTCTCTGATTGCCACCAGGCTGCACGGCGCTGTGGTGCAAAGCTGGTGACTACGTTCTGGATGCGATGGCTGTTAGGGTTGTCTCGAGCGGAGAAGGGGTGTCGGGAGTCACACAGGAAGCATTTCTTCTCATCCTGGATTGGATGGGGGTTAGGATCAGTGTTTCAGCCAGTGCCAGCCCCACCCTGACCCAGTCTCACACTGCATTCCCAGCAGCACCTGCAGGTGACTGACGATGCAGTAGGGCTGGGGGCTATGCAGGCCACAGGTGGATGAGGCAGTCAGTTTGTCCGCGCGTCCCACCAACAGGTCACCTGTGGCTGGGTAGCAGCTTCCCCGTGAACAGCCAGGCACATCCTGGGCCAGTGTGGTGGCCAGCACTGGGGGACAGTGGGTGGGTCAATTGTGAATGCTTCCATTGGGTAGCCCCATCCCATGTGCCACAGAGGCAGCCACCCCCGGACCTACCATCACATCTCACAACCCTCGGGCCCCTCACCAGTTAGAAGTAGGCCCAGTCCAATCTCCCAAGGCACAGGCTGTCCTCTCCAGCCCCTCCCTCGTTCCCTTGAGGCCGGCTCCATCCTGAAGAGAAGGGGAATAGGAATGAGGGAAGATGAAGGATCTGGAGTCCAGTCCCATCCCTTCCCTTCGGGGTTCCGTTCTGACCCTGACCGTGTAGGTTATTGGTCCTCCAGGCCCTCAGTCTGTCCCAGGGTCTGTCCAGCGGTCCCTCCACCAGCTCAGAGTTGGGCGACTTTGAGCAAAGTTGGGAAGCACGGCAGGAAGGAAAGCACGGAGTGGATTTCAGGCAGGAGCATAACACAGGGGAGAGAGAGACAGACAGAGAGAGAGAGAGCCCACACACACAGCCACCCCTGCCCTCCTCCAGAAATAAACCAGACGCTGGCCACCTCACCCACAAATCTTTATTGTGCCCCTAAACTCAAGCCTATTCCAGGGCTGGGGAAGATAGGGGATTTGGTGCTTTAGGCCACCACAGGAAGAGGGCACACAAAATTTGAGAGATGGTAGCAGTAAATGAGAGGTTTCTGATCTTTGAGATGTGGAATGCAGGGCCAAAAAGCTTATAGCTATTGTCACCGACATCATCTTGAAAATTACTATGAAGTCGGCAGTTCGATCCCCGGGCTCCCGGGGGTGGGAAAGTGCAAGCAGAGCCTCAAATTCCTCTATTCAGGGCTGTGGGGGAACTTTAGAACAGCCCAAAGGACAAGACAGGACGGAGGCTGGTGAAAGGCCACACCCTGCCTGAAGTACTGCTCTGGGGAGTTCCGCCGCCGCCCCTAATCACTATAGCAAGTAGGCTGCGGAAAGTGCTGCCTCAGTTTCCCAGGTGAAAATGGGATCCGGGTGGCAGATACAGGACTGGAGCAGCAGCAAATGAATCCGAATCTTGTGTCTATTTATCCGCTCCGGACCTTCCAGCCTTCCGGGAGCAAGGGAACTTCGGGTTGGAATGCGCGCGACCTGGCGCGCGCCCCACCCAGGCCCCTGGGACAGCGGCGGGGAGGGAGTGGTTCCATGGAGTCCACTGGTCTTCAGGGTCGGTCAGACTTGCTATGGACCGCCACAGCTATGAATGTGCTGTTAGAAGCCTGGCAAAGAGTTTCCGAAGTTGTAGGCCCCGGGGAGAAAGCTGGGAGTTCGCAGGGAAACCATCCTGCTTTACAAAGGAACATGGGGGCGGGGCAGTAAAGCCACTGGACTTTCAGGTCACTGGAATAGTCTCCAGTCATCTCGAGGGTCCCTAGGTGGTTAACTTGGGAGGGTTCTCTGGGGTACTAGAGATGACTGCAAAATTTTAGATCACCCAGAGATAAATGTCTAGGGTTCAGGGACAGTAGATGTCCTCAAGGAGTTACAGGATCTCTCTGCTTTCTCAAGGTCAGAAGGCCACTGGGTGACATAGTGGTGTCACATAGAAGTCACTCAGGTCAGAGGGCACTTAGTGAGGTCTCTGATCCTCAAGCTCAGGAGATTCCTGGGTCAAAACAAAACAAAACTTAAAAGCCACTTTTTTTTCTTTTTGGCAGTACAAAAATTTGCTGGTTTGAATGCCCGTCGGGCCTCCTATTTACTAGGCAGGTACTCTTACCACTTGAGCCACTCCACTGGCCCAAAGAGCTCTTCTTGCTGGCATCCATAGATGGTAGTATGTATATGATAGCATATGTATTGGTGCCCAGCCATATGTGCTCATGTATCTGTGCTGCCTGCTGCTCTAGGGCCTGCAGAGTAGCTGCCATTTTTTTTTTTTTTTTTTTTTTTTGGTGCTGGGGATAGAACCCAGGGCCTAGTGCATGCTAGGCAAGCACTCTACCACTGAACTACCTCCCAGCTTGAATGGCTGCCTTCTTGCCTAGTGTCTGTTCATTCTATGCCCAGGCACACCTCAACCTTGTCATGGATTTGGGGAGCCATGGGTTGGTAAAAAGAATTTGCTGAGAGAAAGTAGGAGAAAGGAAAGATTTATTAGGATGCAATTTAAAAACGAGACAATAGTGCATTGAGACAGGATTCAGAGTAAGTTTTATTTACTTATTTATCTATTTATTTATTTTTGGCAGCACTAGGGTTTGAACTCAGGGCCTCATGCTTGCTAGACAGGTGCTCTACTGCTTGAACCACTCCACCAGCCCTTCAGAGTAGGTTTTATAGGTTGGGTTGGGCCACTTTTGATTGGCTGGCTCTCTCTTTATGGACCTTACTGATTGTCTCTTTCTCAGACCAAGGTTTGAATTTTCTTCCTGAACATCTTTGTGATCTTGCCTTTTACTTCCACATTCCATCTGGCCCTCCATCAGGACCAATCTATCCATCCACCCACCCCACCACACTCCTCACACACACACGTTGCATCTGTTCCTTAGCATTCCTTTGTCCTCATGTCTCCTAGAATGGGGGTCCTCCTCCACAAACCCTAGAGATCAAGTCATCTGAGCCAGGCTCTGACCCCTGAACCTAACCTCTGACCCTGGCCCTGACCCCTGAACCTAACCTCTAACCCTGGCCCTAATCTCCATCACAGTCTTGGCCCTGACCCTAATCAATACTTGACCACCCCCCTTCTGAACTTCAAATCTGTGCAGGAGTCTGAACCTAATGTAGACCCAGCTCTGACCCTTCTGTTCTGACCTTGACCTTCCTATCTGATCCTGATTTCACTCTGTGCCTGCCATGCTACAGCCCAGCCACACACCCTCTAGGTGGCTACAGCTGTTCTGTGCATTAAGAAGTTCCTGGGCCTCAGTTCCCATTGCACCACTCTCCTGAAACTTGCACTGTGGCTACCAGGCCATATGTTCCCTCCTGTAGCTCCACTACCCATTTAGGCCATCTGCAATTCCTAGAACTGGGCTGAACCTGAAACCCTACGCAGACCCTACTAACCTGAATATGTCACTGCCCAAGTTCCCTAGGGAACAAGGATTTTAGAACTGAGATCCTTCTGCCTCAGTCCAGTGTAGCCCAGTCCCAGCCTAAACCCCACTTCCCACGCTTCCAGAGGACTCTTCCAAATCTTACCTTGCCCAGGTCCCCAGCCATATCCATGGCCCCTATTGCCTGTTCCTCTGCTTGCTAGGTGTGCTGCTGATTTACAGCAAATTGTGTCCTGAGGCTTTGAGCTCCACTAGATAGATGCTGCAGGATTGGGGCCATATCAACTAGAGGCCAAGCACTCTGCTACTTGGGGCAAAGATTAGAGATCATAGGAAAGGCCTCAGCAAAGTAGCAACTAGGTTGAGTATGGTGGAGTATTCACATTGTGAAGGTATTTAGTATATGATACCACAGTGGGGCAAGGATCTCAGGGGAGAATGGGAGTCACAGCAGTCTTTGAACAGAGACAAAGGGAACTGAGGGGATATAACCTCCTGTACACTGGCCTCCAGGCCTTGAAGCAACAACTTTGCCACCTGCAGCCTTTGCTCTTCAGCCCCTGTATGAGTTCCTGCCTCAGCCAGCACCCTCTGAACATCCAGTCCTTGGCATAGGCCCCAACTGTATCCTCCCTGAGGGACACAGATGTCCAGCCCATTGGTCATCCTTTTTCTATGCACCCTCTGTCATCTACTTCTATCCTCCTGGTCTGCTGGGCCTGATAGGTAGTTCCTGGTCCATAGCATCTGGATCTCATCCAGCAGAAGGACCTCCTCACACATACACTGAGAGTCCCCATAGGCCCAAAGGCTGAAGTTTCAGGCATGCAGTGATCACAGGTACAACTAATGATGTGGAGGAGGCAGGGGCACTGCCCACCCAGCAGGGTATGGTCAGTGCTAAGTGAACCCTTTGGGTGGCATCCCCATGCTGGCGAGTAAGAGGGCAAGAATAAACAAAGCTCATAGTCATCCTTCAAGCCCTACCCGACAGCCCCCTCAAGCCCTGGATACACATTGACTGAAGCCATTTCTGTGGAGTAGGGCTGAGATGCTGCAGAACAGGTGGACTCAAGCCCCAGCTTTGGTGCTTGCAAGGCCTGTCCTTGCTGTCTCCATGTAGCCTGTCTGGAGGAGCTCCTACAAATACTGTGCAGCCTGGAGTCCAAGACCTCAGCCCAGGCAACTACTTTACTAATGGCAGGAGCACAACCTAGCAGAAGGGTAGAGGGAAGCAGGCAGGGGGCAGGGAGATCATCTCACTCATGCCCTCTTTCTGTTTCCTAATCTCTTTTGAGTTTGTTTCTCCTCTCTTCCCAAAGTTCCCAATCTAGTGTAAATAATCTATCTCTCAGAAACATTTCAGCAGCCTCCCTATGATCCATTTTCCCCACATTGCTTCCCTGCTCAACTCTCTTCCAGGGACTGGAGGTGTGACTCAAACTTCGATCTTCCCCAATCTCAGTCTCCCAACTAGCTAGGATTACAGGTGTGAATCGCCTGCTTTGAGAGCAGAAAGTCCTGAGTTCAAACCCCAGTCCCACGAAAACCAAAAAAATCTCTTCCAGGATTCCCCACTTACCCTGGGGTAAAAATGAAGCCTCTCTGCTAGCCCTAAAGGTCCTGTGAGGTCTGGCTCCTGCTTATTTTCACCTTCTACCCTTTCCATGTGCTATTTCCCCTGCCTGGACTACTCTGCCTACACTCTCCACCTGTAGGTCTCAGTCCTCTTGGTACAATTCTAGTCCTCTGTGATCTCCCACCCCTCAGCATCATTGCATCAATCCTGTCCTGTTATAATTTGTGTCTTCACCAGAGTGGGAGGTGGACTTCACAGAATCCAGAATGTCAAAGCAGAGAGGTCTGAGTAGAACCACAGCCCTGCAGGGAGTGGAAAGAAGCATAGGAGAGGAATGAGGGTATCTTGATCATGTGGTCTCAGGGACTCCTTCCCTCACTCCTTTCCTCCCTCCCTCCCTTCCTTCTTCCTCCTCCTCATCCTCCTCATTCTTCTTTTTCTCTCTCTCTCTCTCTCTCTCTCTCTCTCTCTCTCTCTCTCTCTCTTTTGGTTTGTTTGTTTTTTTTTTGGGACAGGGTCTCACTATGTAGCCAAGGCAACATAGTTCTTCTGGCTCAGTTCCCTAAGTGCTCCCAAACCTCCCAAGTGGATTACAGGTATACACTACCACACATAACTTGGGATGCTTTATTTCTATTGTGCAGTTATTACTAAGCCCAACATTTCAACATGAATGAAAAAGTAAAACAACTTCTTAAATCCTGCTCTGTGCTGTTTTTTATATAAATTTTAATAGGTTTCATCATGATCTTTTCATGCATGTGTATAATCCATTATCCTCTTGTCCTCCCTCCCTCCCTC